ATGACGTTGGGCCCACAGAAGGAGAGGTGGGCCATGAGAATCGTGTGGGTGAGTGAGTGGAGGTGGGACAGCACCCAGGATGCCGTCGCCAGCAGGAGACAGCGTTGGGGGCTCATGGTTGTGGTGTAATGCAGCGGGTGACAGATGGCCATGTAGCGGTCAAGAGCCATGGCAGCGAGAAGGAAGCTGTCAGTGATCGCACAGGCCACAAAGAAATACATCTGTGTGAGGCACTGGGCAAAGAGGACCTTCTTGTTCTTGCTCAGCATGTTTGCCAGCATCCTTGGCACAATGACATTTGTAAAGCAGATGTCCACGAAAGATAGATTGGAGAGGAAGAAGTACATGGGGGTATGGAGGCGGGCATCCCCCCAGATGGCTGCAATGATGACTGAGTTGCCGGCCACATTGACCAGATACATGGCAAAGAAGCTGGCAAAGAGCCACCCCTGCTCTTTGGGGTCATTGGTCAGTCCCAGGAGGAGGAATTCAGCAACATGGCTCTGGTTTCCCCTTGACATTGTTAGCCTGCAAGTAGAAAATATAAAGGAATGTTAGGTGTGTGTCCTGGCTTGGAGTCTCCAGTTATAACTTCCTGTGGGTGGCTGGTATAATTGATGGGAGTATGGATTTTGGTGTCCCAGCTTTCTGGCTTTCCATTCTGGCTCTGGCACTGATTCACACAGAGTACGAAGTCACCTTCTGAACTTTCATTTCCTTCATCAGCAAAGGCAGAAATTATTAAATTTACCTCCTCAGACTATTCTGTTTTGGCCTGGATTTCTCTCTGTTTGACTTTCTAAAAATGGATATCAGAAGATCTTAACTTCTCACTGAAGAAAAGACAGATATATACTCTAGAGGACATGTTCTTAGCTCCAGCCTCTTTGGGAAAAGCTTGCAGAATGGGTTGGGGTGTTGGAATAATGTATCAGGAGTGTCATGAAACTGGGAAGGCTACAATCCCTCAGGAGGTGAAATGATACAGTATATGGGGCAGGCCACTTTCTGGCAATGGGAGGGCTTCTGTCTGGTTTGGTTAAACTTTTTATTCCATGCAGGTTGGTGGCATTAAGAAAGTCATAACAGTAGTAACAGGTGCATATCATGACAGTAGATTAGAGTGGACTCGAGCCACAGGTGCTTGTCTGAGCATGAAAATTATATAAAAGGTGCAGGTTATACTGAGAGGATAGCAAATTTCTGGGCTTCAGGAACTGGATTTTTACCCTTGAAATGGGTGCAGAGTAGCAAGCTCCAGAAGGAACAAAGCAGGACCCAGTTTGGAAGGAACTGTGGCTCTGGTCAGCGTTTATAAAGGCAGAGACTCAGCTTCCATGGGACACGATCAGAAATCCATTACCAGGGCACCTGGGTGGCTCAGTGGGTTAAGCCTCTGCCTTCAGCTCAGGTCATGATCTCAGGGTCCTGGGATCAAGCCCCATATCCGGATTACTGCTTAGCGCAGAGCCTGTTTCCCCCTCTCTCTCTGCCTGCCTCTCTGCCTGCTTGTGATCTCTGTCTGTCAAATAAATAGATAAAAAAATCTTAAAAAAAAAAAAAATCCATTGCCCACCCTCTATGCCCAGGATCAAACCCTGGTTATTGGCCAGAATGACTTGATTCTGAATCAGTCACTGTGCTTCAGGCCTTGGGCTGCTGACGTCCACCTTGCCTAGGGTCAGGGTCAGTTCCAGAGCAAAACTCAGGGAGAGATTTGAAGATGTGTGTCACTGACTCCAGGTAAAGGGAGAAACAGGTAAGGTAAGATGTGTGAGAGGAAGTCTACACTCAAGGACACTGAGTACGAATGAGATCCCCTCCCCCCACAATGTTTAAAGCACTGAAATAAAATCCCTTGTAATGCTGGAAAGGACCCATGCTGTCTGGATCTCTCTAGGCATTTTTCTAAGGAACAGAAGCATGGGCTTCTGAAGCATCTTTTTTTCTCCCAAGTGCTTGGAACTTTGGATTTGGAACAAAGTGATTTCTCCTACTTGGAAGGGCACAATGAAACACCACTGACATGGGGAGGCCCAGGATCTTAATTCCGGGAGGGTAGGGCCCTGTCTGGCTGTTAGACCCTGTATCCCCAGTTCACTGCCATATCCTTGTCTCAGGTGCCAAATGCAAGTACTGAACATATCGGGAATCTTTACATGTGCTAGACACTGTATGATGATTGAATCCATTTAAGAACTCTGGCAGCATACAGATGAGGATACTGAATTGTAGATTTATTACAGACTGCTCAGGAACTTGCTCAAGACCATGTTATTAGTAAGTGGCTATATTTTCAACCTAGGCAGTTTGGCTTTAAGGTCTTGTTCTTTGCCACTATGCTATATTACCCTCTGCCTGTTAAAATGTATTTGCTAACAGTAATGGAATGGACAACTTTGACAGCAACTTGAATGACAGAGGCATGTTGACTAAGTGGCCAGAATTAGCTGTTTTGGATCAGGAAAATTAATGGAAACAGTCCAGGATTAGGTTTTAGTCCTGGTGTAGTTACTTACCAGCTGTTTCCCTTGGAAGATCTTTGTGCTTTATTTTTCTCATGGAAAAATGAGAGAAGTACAACACCATTTCCATCAGAATGTTGTGGGCTTCAAGTGAAGGAACATATCTGAAAAGTGGTTTATAAATGAGCAGGTGCTGTATCAGCAGTAATTGTATGAATAATATATAACATAAAGTGATATATAATAATGGAAAATAATAATCCTCATATTTAATATATAGTACCTGGTTTAGCTGGTTAGGACAAAAGAAAGTGAGGAAGTATGTGTGAAATGGTTGGGATGACCACTGGAAGGAGAGCAAGGCTGTAGCTTCTGGAGAGGGGCAGAACAGGTAGTATTAGAATTTCCTGGCCAGAGAAGGGGAAGGGATAGAGATTCCAGTGGGTTTTCTGCTTTGCAGAGTCTTTTCTGCAGTAGTGATGGATAAGTTAAGGGGCTCAATGCTGACAGTCTTCCCACAACCAGTCACTGAGAGTGTTTTTTTTTTTTTAAGGTGAATACTCTTTTTAAAAATTTTTTATTTAAATTCAATTAATTAACATAGTGTATGATTAGTTTCAGAGGTAGAATTCAGCAATTCATCACTTACATATAATACCCAGTGCTCATCACAAGTGCTCTCCTTAATGCCATCACCCAGTTACCCCATTTCCCTCCAGCAACCCTCAGTTTGTTTCCCAGAGTTAAGAGGCTCTTATGGTTTGTCTCCCTCTCTGATTTCGTCTTATTTTATTTTTCCCTCCTGTCGCCTATGATCCTCTGTTTTTCTTCTTAAATTCCACATATAAGTGAAATCATCTGACATTTGTCTTTCTCTGTTTGGCTTATTTCACTTATGGTTTCAAATAGCTCAGGAAAGCCAGATGTCTTTTCTTCATCCAGTATTTTAGACTTACTCAAGTCTTTTGATATGGGATAAGAGACTGGTTTGCTACAGCACCCTCATTCCTGTGATTATCTCTGTGCATTCTCCTTGGTTCCAAGGCAGGCTGCTTCTGAGCTCAGACAGTGGGAGAAATGAAGAGGGCAGCAAGAGACCAGGGGTGTGATGATAAGGTAGGTGCCTGTGTCAGGTGGTGTCAAGGGACTTGCCCTAGAAGTTTCCAATTAAGAAGCAAATGATTGAACTACAATTCAATAGTAAGAAATCTAATAACTGAGCTAAAAATGGGTTAAGGACTTGAATAGACATTTATCCAAAGAAGACATGCAAATGGTCAATAGGTATATGAAAAGACACTCAACATCACTCTTCATCAGGGAAACCAGAACCAGACTGAGGTATTGCCTCACACCTGTATGATGGTTATTATCAAAGAAACAAAAGACAACAAATAGTAGCTAGGGTGTGGAAGAAAGGACCACTTCTACATTTTTGGTGGGAATGTAAATTAGTGCAGTCATTATCGAAAACCTGTAGGTTGAATCTGGAGGTTCAAGAAATAAAAAAATAGAACTACCATATGCTCCAGGAATTCCACTTCTGTGTATATCTCCAAAGAAAGCAAAATAGTGGAAGAGATAGTAGCACTTTTATGTTCATTACAGAATTATTCATAATGGCCAAGGTACGGAAATGACTTGACTATCTATTGACAGATGAGTGGGATGTGTTATATGTCTACAATGAAATACTATTCAGCCTTAAAATCAAAGGAGAGGCTGCCAGATACGACAATGTGGGTGAATTTTAGGACCCTATGCTAGGCAAAATAAGACAGTCACAGGGGAAAAAAAAACTTAGTAATTCCACTTATATGGTATATCTAAAATGGTCAAATCCATAGACTCAGAAAGTGGAATGGTGGTTTCCAGAGACAGGGGAGGGGACAGTGAGGAGTTACTAATCAATGGGCATGAAGTTTCAGGTAAATAAGATGAATGAACTCTAGAGATCTGTTATACAACATGGGATTTCTAGTGAATAATAATGCATTGTACACTTAAATATTTGTTGAGGGTAAATCTCATATTAAGTGTTCTTAACAAAATAAAATAAATTTTTTTAAAAAAAGGAAGCAAAATAATGACAGCAGAGAGGGGAGCCGAGGAGAGTATTACAGGATCTCTCAATCTCAGGACCACATCAGGTGTGACTGGGTTGGAGTCAACTGCCAAGTCCACTGAGTGGCCTCGTGGCTGGGACTGAGGGCTCTGAGGGCAGGTGGTCGTGGCTAAAGGCCTAGCCTCACCAGATTTTGGCAGAGTGACCTGGGCAAGCTGCTTAACCTTAAACCTTAGTTTTCTGTTTTAGAAAACAAGAATTATATCCTAGGATTTGCCTTTAGGCAGCTATGAGGATTCTCATAATATGCATATAAATCAGTGAATAATTTAAGTGGGACAGAATAAACTCCTGATAAATCCCAACTATAATTATTTCTGTTCTTTAACATTATTTAATGGATTTGTGTATGTAAGCCTTAGGAAACTGGCTTATATTCCATGTTCATTTAGTGCCTGAAGAAATATGCAGAGATCTAAATAATCTGAGTCAGAAGAAAACTCAGAGGGGCACCTGGGTGGCTCAGATGGTTAAGCATCTGGCTTCAGCTTAGGTCATGATTGCCAGGTCCTGGGATTGAGCCCCATGTTGGGCTCCCACCTCAGCGGTGGGGGTCTGCTTCTCCTTCTCCCACTGCTAGTGTTCTCTCTGTCTCTGTCTCTGTATCTCTGTCAAATGAATAATAATAATAAAAAATCTTAAAAAAAAGAAGAAAACTCAGAAATCATCCCTTCCTAGCCATCACTCAGGGCAGGAAACTTATAGTGGCCCTGATGGTAGTCATCTAGATTGAGTACATCTAGTGACAGGGAACTCACTGCCTGTCAGTTTTTTAATCCATGGCGTTATATTGAGCTATAGTTATATTTTTGGTATTAAAGCCAAGAGTCAAGAATTCAAAATCTCACAGTTCCAATATCCTTTCTTAACTGACTTCAGTTACAAGTGACCACAATTTTGTTCTTCTTTTACTTATGGAGTTATTGATTTG